TCACCAGCCGTTCGCCTGTTTTTGAGGTCTTTGATGGCCTTCTTCAACGTCAGCCTGTCTGCCAGTGGCAGATGTAACTGAAGGCTAACATTACAACTCTTAAGTTTGAATTCAAAGCGTAGTAACGTTTAGCATTCCTCCGGAGTGGAAAGGACTATTGGAAGTAGTCGGGGTCACCGATTAGGCATATCGACAGACGTTTCGCAGTATGGTCAGCTTGTTGACAGTGACACCAGGGAGGTCAAGTGGAAGAAGCTTCGTCACACATTTAAACCATCGGGAGGTCATCTAATATGCACTCAGTAGGAAGGACGGTCGTGGATCCCACTGTGTTACGGAAGATAACACTGCTATCTATGCAAAAATCGCCACGACGAGGTGTCGAAAACGCAAGTTTTTGATCCATACTAATAGCAGTTGGCTTTGCCGCTGGTAGGGACACCCGCTACTTCTCAGGAGCTCCTGAAGCAACCGAAGTGTAGGATTTTTGTTAATTATAGCCCTTATCACTTCATCTGGTAAGTTGACATACGGTTTGCTGGCAGCTCTAGTGCTCTTCTCTGATCAGCGGACTATGTCTCAACGTCGATTAGATAGGAATCCAGTAAAAAAGGCATTAGCAGTACGTCGGTACACAGTACCGACGCTTCGTTGCCGTGCCACCACCACTACCCACAGTGAGCTAAATACACTGCGAAGATTGCCCGGTCCCTACGTAGGCTCGAACCCGCGCCCTCGGATTACAATGCAGACTTGTGATCCCTAAGGCTACGGGCCGGATAGGAATCCAGCACGTTGCCCAAAACCACCTCGTTGGTGCCGGCCACCAAAAGCGACACCGATTGACAAGAAAGAGTGCATGAGAGCCGTGACCTAAAAACCATTAACCGACGACGGCGCATCCCATTTCCTTTCCGGTTTCGCAACAACTGTAGCTGCGAGTTTGGCAGAGGGCTTTTGTATCTTCATGGCCTTTTCCCCCTCACCTTAGCAAGGTCACAGACCAGTAACACAACAATGCGATGGGAATGGCTATACACGCTACCCATAGCGGCGTTATAAATGTGACCCGCTGCAAACAGGATATTTGACACCATGGTCAGTGTCACAAGTTTTCTGTCAATATTGGGTGTATCACAACAATCAACAACAACAGCAGCAGTACACCAGCCATTTTGACTGGTACTTCGCTGCCATACAACCATGATGACTTATGGAATAATGTGGCTGTTGGAATTCAGAAAAAACTCCCGGCTGGCGCTGAGCACAATGTGACCAGATGGACTATCAGGCGCAAACTAAAGCGGACGCCACGTGCTGACAAAGAAACCTGGTAGACCAGTCGGGCTTAAGAAGTGGAAGGGGAGAAGTAGGAAGTTAACACAAGCCCTTCAAGCTGATCCGCACCACCGGTACCAAGAAACCAGGCATCAGTGAGTCAATCAGAGACCGCGAGGGTGCACTGACACATAATAAAGAGGGTCGTATGACTAGTTGGGCGGGACACTTTCAAGATCAGTTCAGTGGGCCACTTGGTACCGGAACTCGTCCTACTGTGATTATGCAGGGCGAGCCATGGCCGTTAGTTTAGAGGTTCCATCGGAAACTGAGGTCCGAAACGCAATCACAGCCCTCAATCGTTTTCGTGTTGCTGGTCCGGATTTCCTCCCACCTGCACTATTTAAGAATAAAGGTGAGGTCCTTTGCAAAGCACTGCCCTCCATTCGAACATATCTGGAAGTGTTCCGGCTAACTGGAGTAAATCGAGTATGGTGGCAATCTAAAGAGGCAGTCGCACCGATATGCTAACCACAGGGATATTAGCTTAACGCCGGTTGTGACAAAATTACTGGCCTCGATTCGCGTTTGTCGCCTCACTGTGGAACGGGAATCTCGGATTAGGGAAGAGCAAGCCGGCTTCCACCCAGGACATGGCTGCATAGACCATATATTCACTGAGGCAAGTGCTAGAACAGAGCCAATACCGCAGACCGACAATTGCTGCGTTCCGCAACTTCAAGAGTGCGTTCGACTCAGTAGATCAATGCGTTCAGTTCGAACTACTGGTGTGGAAAAGTGTTCCCACGAAATATGTGAATGTCTTACGTGCTCCAAACTCGAACACTACAGTCACCGTCAGGGTCTATGGTGACCTGTCGGATAGCTTTTCGACAAGTGGCGTTCTTCAGGTTTGTCCGATTTCCCCGTTTTTGTTGGATTCCGTCGTACACTTCATCATGGAGTGTTCCCTTACCGAATCTCATAAAGTAAGCGTCCAGGTTCGGCTTAGTAAAAGGCTAGTTGATCTAGATTATACGGACGATATCGTCTGACTTTCTGACAATATTTCGGTGGCACAATCAACCCTGAATAGCCACATTAGAGTGCTCCCATTACTTGGTATGGGCTTCGCACCTCCAAAGTGTAAAGTGTTGTTGCAGGACCACCAACCATTTTATGACCCCCTGATAACGAGGAACTTGAGGTGGTTGACTGATTCAGGTACCTTGGCAGCTGCATCAGCAATGATGGGCACATAGAAACTAAAATCAGTTCACGCAATGCAAAGGCCAGAACTGCTTTCTTGAACTTGCGGTATCTTTGGCGACAGAAGGGAGTTTCCCTCCGTCTGAAATAATGTGCTAACAAGGCCACAGGGAGAACCGTCCTGCTCTATGGGAGTGAGACAGCCCATTCTGTCTGATGATCGGAGACGCCTTCAAGTCTTTGATCGTCGCCGTCTGCGGGGCATTCCTAGTGTCGGGAGGAACCAGCGTGTCCGCAACGATGATGTGCGTAGGCGAATATTAGGTAGTGTTAAGCAAGCTAGTTCCTTAGAACATATAGCATTGAATAAACTGCGATGTCTTGAGTACGTAGCACATATGCCTGGTCACCGCTTATTCAGGAGGACGTTTAGTCTGCCAGATGTTCGGCGGCGTAAGGCTCGAGGCGGGCGAGTGCTGACTTGGCAGCGGGAAATGAAGTCACTGACGACCACACTCGGTGCCGTCGGTTCGTCTCACCTTCCGGGCTCGAGTCCAAGTGACCCGCCTAGTGATCGACTCAAGATTTCAAAGGACATGGCTCGCAGTCGACACCAGTGGTAAGTCTGTTGCAGTTTTCTAGTCGGGCTGCTTGTTTAAAGTGTGTTTGGTGCTGAATTTTCTGCGGGGTAATGGCTGACGCGGAGCAGATTCAGATGGACTGGAACGATAGGAAAATCCCTTGAGTGTTCCTTCTTGAGCAAATCGTTGAGCCAGGAAATGATAAGGTGCTAGTTCTTGATAGATCTAAAACGAAACACCCGATACACACCCTGATCAACCAATTACTGCCCACGTTCCCTGCACTAGCAGTCCCCGCTGTGTAGGTTACGCGAAGTAAGAAAGTAGAAAGTAAATGGAAGATAAAGGGGAATGAAAGTTATTAAAATGAAGGATAATACCAAAGAGTGAAGAAAATGACAGAATAAGAGCTAAAAGTTTGAAGATGGATATGGTCAGGAGAAGGGAAAGGTTTCGTGTTGCCACGCAAGAGCGTCTAACTGATGCTCGAAACGCTTAACCGTAGGTTCACTGACTACACTTTCTGGAAGCGAGTTCCAGCGCTCGATAACTCTACGCGACAACCCAGTATCCGCCCTGATCCGGTCAGAACGCGGCTTGTGTAGCTTCATAGGATGACCGTGAAGACAAGGTAACCTAGCCGGGCTAAATAGCCAGCTCAAGTCCGGTCCAACTTTCCCTATTAAAATGCGGTAAGTAAGGATTAGGTCTCCTCGAAGCCGTCGGTAGTGCATTGAATACATACCCAAGCTAAGTAGACGCTTAGGGTACGATTGCCCGCGTAACCTCTCGACTAATTTGGTATCTACTCAAAACCCTCTCGAGCTCCATTTTGTCCCGAACAAGGCAGGGCGGGCAAGCCTGGACGTAGTATTCCAGATGAGGCCGGACGAAAGCTGAGAACAGATTCACAAATATGTCGGCAGTTAAGACCCCGAAAGAACTGCGTATTAACCACAACATTCTGAAACCTCTACTTGCGGCCCTCTTCCAATTGTCACCAGAATGCAAAGACGAGGAATGGACGACGCCTAGGTCTACCTGGTTGGAGACAAGGGGGAGTTAGACCCCAAAGAGTACGTAGCTCGAAGGCGGGAAAGTTGCTCCTATACGAAGGACGGAACATTTAGCCTGATTTATGGGCAGTAGCCACAAAGTAGACCAGTCCTCGAGTTTTATCCAGTGCATGATGTATGGCCTCAGAACCCCCAGGAACATTTACAACATTCCATAGTTTAAGGTCATCAGCAAACAATAGGGATGATACTCCAAGCTCTCCAGGGAGATCGTTTACGTAGATAGAGAACAACATCGGTACAAGGACCGAGTCCTGTGGTACACCGTTAAGTGAAAGTCGCAAGGAAGCTGTCTCGCCGATGTCACCTTATCTTTGCACGATAATTACCTATTTGTGGCGGTATGTTGATGACAATTTGTAGGCGCTTTGAACCCGAATGTTTGCTTAGGGCATTAAGGTTTTCGGGTAAGTCCTCCTCTTCCTCTTATTATTCTTTATTCCATAAGTCATCATGGGCGTATCGCAACTCCTCAGAGAACCATCATTACATCGAATGTAGCTTCATAGACTGATCCACTTCGTGAGTAAAATGGTGAACACAGAGGTGATGTTATGGTATGCCTGCTCAACCATTTGCAAAATGGAACCAAAGCCTCCGGTGGCCGCAATGACAAGAGTTGAAAGGTTTTGTTGACCTCTATAAGAGCTGATGCATCCAAAACAAAATGTCGACGGCAGGAAGTATTGCGTATTGATAAGCAGTCAGGCAAGTACACTTCTGAACGAAGATGATGTAATACACAAGCTACAATACAGCAAATAAAACATGCATAAGAATAACATCATTAAAAACTTTCGCAATAGAATAAACGTCATGAATCTCGTGATGAAGTTTAAACATGGATGCTACATACCCAAATCTGAAGCTTCACTCGCTTGTCTTTCCGAAAGATTGTTTTCACTTTGAAATCTATTCCAACAGTGGAAACGAAAGCTGACGTAAAACTATCATCCGCATAACGAAAAAGAAAAGATGTTTTCCCAACAGAAGAGTTTCCGATGATTAAAATCTTGAACATGTAATCAAAATTCTGGTCGGCGCCATCCTCTCGCTGATTCATTTTGCAGTTTTGCGTGACGCGCCGCTACTATTTGTCTCAGCGTGTGTTTAACATGGTTGCGACAAACAAAGTTATCGGAAATTTATGGCAAAAGGAAATGCATTTTTTGCTAGCAAATGTGACTAAGTACATTTATAAAGCTTTGGTGTTTGTTACTGCTCATACAGCCATTTTATTTAGGGTGCAACTTCAACTTCATAAAGCACCGGGAGCACCGCACTCACATATATGTCTTGACAAGCATGGAGTTCAGTTCAGAGTTCATAGTTGTAGAGAGCGAAAGGGAAGACCCGTGTCAGCTCCATCACCTTCCGTTCATTGGCTGGATGACATGTCGTTGCCCAACTGTTTTCCCTGAACTTTTGTTGCAGCTGCAGCAAAAACAGCGGAATCCAGGCATGCTCAGCATCTGCTTGTCAAATCGTTCTTTAAAAGATTTCTGTTTGGGCACTTACCACACATTCCGGGATTGTTCCACTCATTCACAGCCCATGTGGATAACGCGATATCGGACCGGATATGTTTCCTCCGAGGTTTAAAACTTTTCAAGCTGTTGCCCTGTGTTGAACAATCTGCGTGGAGCTGCAAGAACGGTAGCACCTCGTTCTCCAAATCGCCCCTTAAAATGCTTCTAGTATAAATCCGACCAACACGGCAACGGCCGTAGTCGAGGGTAAATAAGTTCATACATTGGAGACGAAGGGGATAAGGTAAAGCACGTAGCATAGACACAGTCTTGGATCCGCGCCTCTGAACCTTCTTAATCAACGCAAATTCAACTTTCGTGAGCGGGTGTATGGCAGGTAGGCCGTATTCTAGTATTGGACGAACGTGGGAGGAAACAGAAGCCTGATGTTCTGCGGGGTCAATTTTTAGAACAACCTTCTTATGGCGCAGAGCATCCTGGTGGCAGATGCTACCTTCCGCAACGTGTCATGGGTTGTTCTTAGATCTGGCGAAACAAGTACACCCAAGTCCTTCTCACAAACCCCTTTCTTCAGCGGAGAACCAACGATGTACTAAGCACCGAAAGGTTAATGATCACCGATCGGGAGAACACAGCACTTATCACGATTGATAGACAGTTGCCACTTGACCGACCAATGGTGCAGCAGATCGAGAGTCAGTTGCAACCTGTCAGCATCTTCAAGCCTGGATACTTGCGACCAAAGTTTAAGATCATCAGCATAGATCAAGCAGTCGATTTTGAGCACCACCGGGAGGTCCTTGATAAATGTTTTGAATAGTCCGGGACCAAGAACGGAGCTTTGTTAAACCCCACTGGTCATAAGAACAGGACCAGCGTCAACTTTGTTAACCCTTGCCTTCATACTAAGGTCATATGGGAGATCCGCGATCTAGGCGAGCAAATTACAAGCGATGCCAATCTGCCGAATTTTGAAAAGAAGCCGCTTGTGTAGAACCCTATCAAGCGCCTTGCTAAAATCAACAAAAACTACATCAAGGCGATGACCAGCATCCACTGACTGCGCCCACTTTCCTCGGGCAACAAGCCGTTTGGTAATGCAAGAGCGTGCCCTCCGAAATCCGTGCTGAGCAGGAGAGATGACGTCCGATTTCGTAAGGTGAAGGTGCAAGGCCTGTTTCAAAATCCATTTCATGGTTTTACAGAGGATTGATGACAGGCAAATCGTGCATTAGTACACTGGATCTCGGCGATTCCCACTTTTGTACATCGGTTTCACAACATTTGTTTGCCATTTATTTGGGAGACGACCTGCTTGCCGTGAGCTTCGAAATACTTGACATATTGGTGCAGAAATGAATTCCGCCACCTCTTTGAGGAAAAAGGGATGCAAGCCATCGTGACTAGGTGAAAAATTCGAGTTTACGTCGAAAAGCAGTTCCCGTAATCTTTCAGTGGTAATTTCAACATGCTCTAATGGAGAGGGGTGACAGGGAGTATCCTCAACAACTAACGGCACCTCCGTCGTATGCACAGGGGAATATTGCGAAGCTGGTAGACAAGCTTTCGTCATGTCATTATGAAGCACGGTGTCCTCTTTGCTTGAATACAGTGTGTGTATACCGTTGCCAGCTTTGGTGCTTCTTTTTAAGTATGCGAAAAGCTTTTCTGATAAATCACAGATTTGGATAATGCCGTAAGCAGACGAGCAGTGGCAGATGTCAACATTTCGTATTGTCTCTTCAATGCCAACACAATAACATGAAAGGGTGAGACCGGAACAAGTTAGCACAGGGTAGAGGGGCAGGCGTGTCACCCCTACGCCCAGGGCGGCCGTAGGCTTACGAACAGCTGTTTCTGCACACAGAGTGCGGGTTTGATACGGCTGATCGCGATTTGGAAGGTGTTGCGTAAAAATAAGCTAAAGCCGTCCAATGGAGATCTCCGGCGCATTGCCTCTGTTCAATTGGAGACTGCTCAGACACGACTCAATGCGCTAATCGAGACGCATTCCCGCCTAATGCCAATACTGGATGGCTTATCGTTGTGCTGGAGGATTGTGTTTACCAACTTCTGCAAATTTACTGTTGATAGTACAAGGGAGAAATGCAAAGTCTGGTGGCAGAAGTCACTAGTTGATAAACGGGAGGAGCCTGCATATCGTGACCCTCATACGTACTTTTTAAACCTGTCAAATGTTTCCCTTGACGCCTTTCAACTGGAAGCATTATCGCTCGGAATGGATTACAAAGTACCACCTGGTAAGCTAAACCGCCTGTTCATAGAGGCACAGTTTGAAAATTTTTATGATCAGGTAGCAGGATTACGGCGTCTAGTCCAGATATGTCAAACTGGTTTAGAAACAAACTAACTGATATTGCCCATGAGGTCACAATGACGCCAATGCGTGAGAAGTGTTAGCTAACAAGGTGTCACCTTTGTGCACTACGAGAGCTGAGAACAAAGGGGGTGATTGTACTTAAGCCAGCCAAAGACCCAGGAGCCGTCATTATGTGCAAGGTAGAATACACACGGAAAATTCAAGATTTACTGAGTGATACTAGCAAATTTAAACTCCTTACAAGAACAGAGGATAGTGAAGTGGAAAGACGCATCACGGAACACCTAAAGTTGCTCCCCTGTACACCGTGTAATTGATGATGAGGTATATAACAACCTAAAACCGGGAGGGTCCAACATACCTCAGCTATACGGTTTGCCAAAGACCCATATATACGATATACCGCTTGGACCAATCTTGTCAATGGTAAACTCGACAAAACATAAGTTGGCTCGTTGGCTGGTAGAAGTTCTTTCGCCGTTAAAGCAGCAGACCACCTTACACCGTCTGAAGGACTCTTTCGAACTTACAGAGGCTTTAGATGAGTTTAACCTATCCGATAAAGTCATGTCCACATTGGATGTACAATCGCTTTTCACCAATGTTCCGCTACATGAAACAGTTGATTACGTGGGTGAAATGGCAGAGTGCACCGATTTTACTCTTCTAATGCCAGTCGAATTAGTAAAGGACAGCTTACTACTAAGTACTGAGAACATCGGTTTCCAATTCCAAAACATTCCTTATCGCCAGATAGATCGGGTGGCAATGGGTAGTCCGTTGGGCCCAGTACTAGCAGATTTTTTATGTCGATGATTGAAAAGAAGTTGAGTGTGGAAATATCGCTGCTTTCCTACTATAAGCGATATGTGGATGATATTTTAGTGTTTAGCTCATCAGAGGAGCTCATTGCGCTTCTAGGCGATCGCCAGAATAACGTGCATTCGAATCTGAAAGTAACCAACGAAAATGGGAAAAACAACTGCCCTCCATATCTGGACGTGTTGATTTGCCGAAGAGCAGATGGGTCCATCAAAAGATAGGTTTACCGAAAACCGACTTGGTCAGGGCAGTACCTACACTTCACCAGCTTCTCCCCAATGCGGTACAAGCGGACCTTAGTCAATACGCTATTCAACCGTGCAAGGAAAATATGCGCTGCCGACAGTTTAGATGATGAGATAAACTCGCTCAAGGATACGCTGTTGAAAAATGGCTATCCAAGTAGCTTCATCGACAAACACAGTCAGGCGAGGGTGCAGGGACAGAAGGCATCGACAGTGTCTAAAAAGAAGATCTACATCGAGCTAGCATTTAAGGGAGATTTCGCCAATATGAGGACAACGAAACGCATAATTTCCGCAGTCCGTAGGACTTATTATGCTGTCGAAACTGTCCTTATCAACCGGACTAATCGAATACCTGTTACCACAATGACGGAAAGACAACCTATTGGCGCCAACTTACATTGCATTTACCAATTTACTTGTAGTTGTGGTATACACTACATCTGCCGTACCAATCGAGCGTTGAATTCCAGAATAAGGGAACATGTACCTAAATGGTTGCAGCGTCAAATCACCCAGTCCTCGGTTGCTCATACCATCGGTTCACGTAAACCCCCTGCTTCATCCGTAGGTAGGCATTTACTGGCCACCTGTCACCAGTTTGATCCGGCCACAATGTTTACAATCGTGTTAAGACATACTGACGCCCGTTTCCTACGTTTTGCAGAGGCAGTCGCGATCAGCCGTGTCAAACCCACACTCTGTGTGCAGGAAAAGCTGTTCGTGAGCCTACGGCTGACCTGGGCGTAGGGGTGTCACGCCTGCCCCTCTACCCTGTTCTAACTTGTTCCGGTCACACCCTACCTGTCGTCTTATATATTTGCATGTTATTGTGTTGGCACTGAAGAGACAATACAAAGTGTTGACATCTGCCAGTGTTCGTCTTCTTACGGCATTATTCAAATTACTATAGGAATCTTATTGTTTCAAATTAATCACAGATTGCTCGGTCAGGTGCTGCTCATATAATTCTCGCTTTTTGTGATTTCTCAGGGTGCATAAATTTTTAACCTCTTTGTAATGAGCGTAACCTTGTGTCGTCTGAGTGAACTTGAACCGGCCCCAAAGTTTTCTCCTTCTCAGCATGAGCGATGTGATTTTTCGATCTATCCATGGGACCCTTTGGAGAAAAATTGTCTTGTAACCCTTGGAACAACCCGAGCAATGAAAACCATCAGCATGGAGCACAAAAGGTCACAAGCGGCATCGAGATCCAACTGATGAGGGATGTTCCAGTCCATGAGGCTAGCAGCTAATTTTAAGCGGAGGGGTCAGCTCTCCAGAAATTTCGGCGGTGCACTCCTTGGA